ATAAGAAAATTGATCAACAATTAACTGATCCAATTCTTATTTCTCAAATTGATGAGTTTAGATTAAAACTACAAATGAATGTCTGTTCTACTTTACCTACTGTATTTTGGCATAGGAAAAAGCATGTAGTTACTTTATTATATATTAAAATTTTCAATGAATGACAAATTCCTACTAAATCTCGACCTATTCAAATGAATCATGAATTACTTGAAATGTGTAAAAAAGAAATTAATGAATTATTAAAAAATAGGATAATTAGCCCAAGTTAATCACCATGGTCTTGTCCTACTTTTTATGTTAATAAAAATGTTGAATTAGAAAGAGGAGTCCCTCGCTTAGTCATTAATTATAAATCATTAAATAAAGTCTTAGAATGGATTCGATATCCTATTCCCAATAAAAAAGATTTGATTAAAAGATTAAGTCAAACTGTTATTTTCAGCAAATTTGATTTAAAAAGTGAATTTTGGCAAATTCAAATTCATCTTAAAGATAGGTATAAAACTGCTTTTACTATACCCTTTGGTCATTATGAATGGAATGTAATACCATTTGGATTAAAAAATGCCCCTAGTGTATTCCAAAACATAATGAATGATATTTTTAACCCATTTAGTCATTTTTCTATTGTCTATATTGATGACATATTAATCTTTTCCCAATCTATTAGTGCACATTGGAAACATTTAACTGCATTCTTTTACACTATTAAAAGTCATGGTCTAGTTATATCTGCTCCTAAGATTAGATTGTTTCAAACTAAAATTAGATTTTTAGGATATGATATCCATCAAAATACAATTTTACCTATTAGTCGCTCCATTGAGTTTGCATCTAAGTTTCCTGATGAAATTTTAGATAAAACCCAATTACAACGGTTTTTAAGTTCACTTAATTATATTGCTGAGTTTTATAAATACCTTAGGAAAACTTGTCAACCTCTGTTTGATCGATTGAAAAATCATCCTCCTCCTTGGTCTTCTATTCATACTTCTATTGTTAAACAAGTCAAACAATATGTTAAGTCTCTTCCTTGTCTTGGTATTCGTACTGAAAATTCATTCAAAATTATTCAAACTGATACTTCTGATATTGGCTATGGTGGCATTCTTCTCCAGAAAGTCACTCCTCATTCATCTGAACAAATTGTTCGATATCATTCTGGTATTTGGAATGAAGCACAATTAAATTATAGTACTATTAAAAAAGAAATTTTAGCTACAGTTTTATGAATTAGTAAATTTCAAGATGATATTTTAAATCAAAAGTTTTTACTTCGTGTTGATTGCAAATCTGCTAAGTATGTTTTACAAAAAGATGTTCAAAATCTTGTTAGTAAGCAAATTTTTGCTAGTTGGCAATCTATTTTAAGTATTTTTAATTTTGATATTGAATATATACCTGGTTGTCAAAATTCTATTCCCGATTTTCTTACCCGAGAATTTTTACAGGGGGGATAGAGAGATGGCCACTCCATTTATTACTTACTATAAAACCCAAATTTCCCAATACCATACTTTGATAACCCAAACTGCTCACCGAATTGCCCGATTAAAATTAGCCAAACCAACTACTAAACGTGCTCAATATATTATCTACCATCAAATACAAGCTCGTCGCCATTTACTTGCTGATTATTACAACTGTTTGGATTATCATCAACAATACTTAGATCTCCTCAGTGGTTGCTAATATTAATTGCTAACCCTTCGTTCTATTTAACAGATGTCTCGTCCCAGGCCTCCTTCCAAAGCCTTGGTCCGATCTAGCCATCCTTTTATTCCTCCTTTGGAGCTAGTAACCCAATACCACCCTATTGAAATGATTAACCGTTACAAAGTCCTTGGTAACATTCCTAAACCTAGTTACACTTCTGTTTTGGCTACTGATCCTTTTGCTTCTTCCAGCCAAGAAGTTACTCCATATCCTCCTAATCCGATTAAAATTGTCCGTTCTGATTATGTTAAATCAACCACTACTAATGTGTTCTTCAAAGAACCCAGTCACCCAAAGCGTCAGTCTGTTAATGACCTGGTTAAATCTTATTTTCCTCCTGGATGACATTTTGTTCCCATGCATCCAGCAAAAACCATTACTTTCTATAGAGACATCCTATTCAACCACCAATCAATTGTGATTAAACCTATCTATGACCGCACCTACACTAGTAAAGTTGTCTACCACTCCCTTTACATTCACAATATTGTTTCCCTAGCTGAATGAGGTCCTTCTTCGCAGCTTCGAGAATTGCCTAATAACTCTCTGCAGTATAGTTATTATGACTATATTGATGCCTGGTTTAAAATATTTTTGTATCAGACTGAAACCTTTAGCCATTCCTAGTTCATTCAGTTTGATCAAAAGTTTAAATCTGAATTTCCTACTTGGTTTCTAAGATGGTGGACTCATTATAGTGCCATTTCGGATATCTTCCCAGCTATTGTGCTGGAACAGGCTAATTATTTTTCAACTGTTTTCTCCTTCTCTCCACAAAAGAAGAAGTTTCCTCAATTGCTAATTTTCATATCTAAATATAAAATCCCTTAGATATTTAAATGGCATTATGGCATTTCTGATGATGTGGTTCAAAGGATACATACGGTTAAATGGTGGGATAATTACAAAATTCCCCGCATTGTTGAACTTGTTCAAACTGAGTTCCCGGTTAATATTCATGCTCCTACACCTGCCATGGTTAAAGCTCAGCAGAACCCCACTGCTTCAATTACCCAAGGAAGCCAACTTCCTATTATTAATCTTGGAAGCCTAACTTCAAGTTCTTCCAAGCCCAAGTCGTCCAACTTAAAGGCTAAATCAAAGGATAAATCATCAACTGCTAAGCCCAGCTCTACTCAGCCCAAATCAAAGGATAAAGCAAAGACCACATCTGCTAAAGCAAAGTCCAAGACTAAACCTACAACTCCTGCTAAACCCAAGGATAAGTCCAAGTCATCCAGGGATGAACTTCTCAAAATGGCCCGTCTGCTTATGGATCAGGCTAATGCACAGTCAGATTCAGATAATTCAGAAAACGACAATTCGGCTAATCACAATTCAGAAGAAGGTTCAGACAGTTTACATTCTTCTGAAGGTTCAACTACTGGTTCAACCACTCAAAACCCATATGGACCCGAGTTCCAAGATGCGCAGGACCCATATGCCTAGTCAGCCCTGCTTTGGATTCCATATAGATACAAATTAGCTTTAATCAATACTCTTTTGAGAAAAGCTGCCAATTTGTATTTATATTGATTCCCTTATTAAAATATTTCCACCGAAAGTAATGAATAGTAAAAAGTCACTATTCACTTTTACTATTCATCACTCAATCAATCTGCTAAAAAGCTGCTTTATCTTTTGTCAATCAGCTGAAAGCATCCGACAGCCTGTCTTTGCTCATGTGCTGCCAGCTGCTTTCATGATAAACCAAGTCACATGTTGTATAGTTTGTTTTTGTTTTCTATAAATTGTAATGGTTAATTCATTTGAAGGGCGAGGTTAAGAAAAAACAGAGCGAAAAAGAAGTGCTCTTCTGCTTATATATTCACCTATTGATCTGTATTTCAAATTATGTATTTTGAAGCAATCCAGTGCTACAACTGTTAAACAATTGTAAGTTATTTTGATTAAAATCTATTTTATTATTCCTTTATTCCTTCTTGTCAAGTATCTGTATTTCTATATTCTCTCTATCCCTACTTCCATCTCCTTTTGGTTTTAGATACACCTAAGTAATATGTATCTAAAAAAGTTTTAAAAAAAATGTTTAACATTTAAAAAATATTCATTAAAACCAAAAAAATACGAAAAATAAAAAAACTTCATTTAAAAAAAAAAACTTAAGAAAACTCAAACCAAACACATTGTTTCTAAAAAATGTCACATTAATTCTCACCTTTTCATTTTCCTTACAAGTAAAAGAAGTTAGTTAATTACTTTCTTAAGGCACATGTTAACCACCGGACCTTTTTTTAATGTCAATAAATTGAAATAGTTGGATGATCTCACACTAACACCATATAAAACTTTACCCAAGCCCACAGATCAAGCTCAAATGGGCATTGAGTAGTGTTTCTTTTTTATAACAACTAGGCCGTTTCGGGCCAGACGTTGGGCTTGTTCGGGCCAGCTACAATTTGTGGTAGACAAATAATTTGGAGCAAAATAAGTATTATGCATATTTATAGGATAAATTATACTTTGCACTTTTTATGTTTGGCTTTTTTTTTGTTGGCCTTTAAAATTAATTTTTTCCACTTTAGTCCTTCATATTACAAGTTTTTTTTTTTTTTTTTGCAATTTTTACTCCAAAAGGTAACTTGTGTTCAAAATTAAACAAAAAATACATATTGACAGTTACGTGACATAAAAAGATTTTATTATATATAATCCACACCTATAATACAAACTCAAATTCTAGTATAATAATATTTTTTTTATGTTTTGTGGCATTCAATATGGCATTTTCTTTCTAATTTTGAACATAAATTAGTTTTAAAGAGTAAATTAAAAAAAAAAAAATTGAAACATAAAAGATCAAATGGAAAAAACAAACTTTAAAGACTAAGTGAGAAAATAACTAAACATAAAAGAGTAAGGTGTAATTTATAATATTTTTTTTATGTTTTGTGGCATTCAATATGGCATTTTCTTTCTAATTTTGAACATAAATTAGTTTTAAAGAGTAAATTAAAAAAAAAAAAAAATGAAACATAAAAGATCAAATGGAAAAAAACAAACTTTAAAGACTAATGTTGTGTTTGGTTGGGGAATTTGAGGAGGGATTTGGAAAGAGAAATGGAAAAGGTAGGTGAAATGAGAATAAAATATGCCTAAATTTCACATAGTTTCACACATTTTCCCTTTCCCTTTCCAAATCCCTCCCCAAATCCTCCAACCAAACACAACATAAAGTGAGAAAATAACTAAACATAAAAGAGTAAGGTGTAATTTACTCATATTTATATATATAATTATATATTATACTCGCTCAATACGATTCAGGATTGTTGCAAAATGATTTCACAATTCGGGTCAATAATGTATCTTTTATACATCTCCAACACAAAATCTGGGAAACATGTACATAGTTAACAAGTCCAATATAAGTGGACGAGACTAAAAGTTTTGTATACCCATTTGAAGCATTATTGTGAACCAACGACCCAACAAGACCTATTTATTTGAATTCCTATATAACATGATAAAAAAACAGACCAATTCAGTTGAACGCAGTACTGAAGTAGTTCTCAACAACATTACTACCTAGGATCTGCAACACAATGTTGTTACTGGGTCCCACGCATCGCGGGGTTTTGAATTGGCTGACGGCAGATCCCTGCCCCACGTAGTGGTCTAGAATCTTCTGAAACGTTCCCCTCCTAAGGACTCGGAGCTCGAGCGCTCCGATAGTGTTGACTTTGCGGGAACTCATGTAGCCTGCATCGACAAATGACTGGTCCAAACAGTTGCAACATTCCTTCAAAAGGTCCTCACCCGCTTCGCCACTCACTTCCCAGAAGATGACATAGTGGCCGGGGTCAGTTGATAAGTCAACAAGGCTCGTGAAATCGACTACTTCAAGCTTTTCTTCAGCTAAGAGCTTGGCAGCCGCCTCAACGGATAGTTGTAAGTCTTTCTCAGTGTTCTTGTCGATGTTAATGGTGAGCAAAAGATTACTCCTGCAAACAAATTGGAGCTCTGGAGTTGAGTTGTGGAAGCCCACTACCTTAACCACATCTCCTAACCTATACCGATATAAACCTGCAAATTAATTTAAAGCACATCAACGTAATACTATGAGAAGAATGAAAAAGGTTAATGAGCATAGAAATAGAATGCACACATATGAGACAAAATGCTTGCAACTATAGATTCAAGCATTATAATTGCAAGCATTTTGGATCACATCTTTATCCCATTCTGTGAAATTTTTTTTGTGTTGTGCGTGTAGCACAACTAGATAAGAATTAACGCATAACAATAATGAAACCAAAATTGATGTTATATGTGCGTGCACGTCTGCATCGCGACTCGGAAGTGCAAAAGGGAATTTCAAATAGAGAATGCAAGAATTAAAGTAAATCAAATAAAAAAATGTCTAAAAGATATCAAAAGATGTTTTGATTAAAGTAAATCAAGTTGTAAAGTAGTAAAACCATAGATACAAGACTACTCCATAAGGCACCTTTAATTTATTCTATTTTATGTGAGCTTGCTCAACTTTTGCCAATGATGTGGTTTACCTAATCCGTGTTTGTCTGTCATAAATAATTGAACAACATGTATCACATAATAACCCACCACTACCTACTATCAACGCCACAAATATGTGTCCGTATGTTATGATGTTAAAAGAAAAAGAACAAATAAACTTAATTTTTAATTTGGATTGTGTTGCCCATCATGCATCAACAATAATTTGAAGACAAAAACAGATAAATCAGCTAAAAGACCAAAGGAAAATCATGTACATAGAATATTTGAAATACTTTCACAAGTTAACTCCTCAACCAATCCAAAATAAATAACTAAGCAAATATATACATAAAATACATATATATACAGACAAAACTATAAAAGCGGAAGTCATAACCCATGTCTCCAAGTAAACTAGATTTAGTTCAAAATAATACATTACACTATATTCTATAGTAGTGGCTTGCACATGGAACCGAAAATAAATTTATGAACTATCCTTGGTTGTATCAGTATCCCGGAATTTCATATGTCACAATTCCACCAAGATCTCTGACGGAACAATCCCCAAAAAAAATTCAACTTTAATCATAAACGAAACTTGTATAGAAAATTTCACCTACCCCTAATAAGATGTCAACCAATTAGATGCGCCTTGAGCAGTTTCTCTACCAGCCAGTTTTGCCATGTGAACTAGTGAATAAACAACCAAATAATGGAAAAAAACGAGACCCTATAGAGATAAGGAAGGTCGGCACAAGAATGGAGCTGTTCTTCCTATATCCAACACCCACATGACAAGCATTTGAGGGAAAGTGAGGGTTTTCAAACACCCGGTGGACAAATTCTAATGGAAAACAAGTAAGGCAGCTTTATCAACCAATGGCTCAATATCTAGCTGATTTTACTTGTTGAAATAAAAGGATTTTCTAAACCATTTACCATATATTTTTGATAACTTAATAATATATGGTGCAATCAGTGTGTAAAAAATGCAAGTACCTGCGAAATTAGTGAAAATGATCTCATACTCTTCGCCAATCTTGACTTCAGTCAGACCCAATGGCTTGGCCTCCATGGAGAGCAATGAGGACTCAATTTCATCAGGCTTCTGAACCTCAACATTCTCCCTCAGAGGAATAAATTCAAAATACCCAATATTAGGAAGCACAGCAAAAGTGACCTGCTCAGGAGGCAATTTTGGGTTCACATTTGCTCCGATCCAACCTTCAGACGATCCATAATCAGCACTCAACAGTGGTAGCTCGCCTGCGTAGTGCCTCAGTTTTTTCAAATAAGGTTCCATTGAACCAGTCATGATTCCATAGACGTACTTGGCTTTAGGAAATAGCTCTGGTATTAATCCGTACCAATTACTTAATCCCAAACACTTTTTATAGATCATATCAGCCAATTCAGGGTTTGGCTTTAGCAGTTTCGACATAGCTGTTCGGATAGATGGGACGGTGATTCGGCTGCTGAGAACCCCTTCTCGGATGTCAGTACAGAGTTCCTCCCAAACTTGTTCAAAGGTTCGGAAGGAATGTACAATGCTGTGGGCAAATGTAGAAGACACAACTTGGACTTCGTCCCAGTAAATGAGTCCACTTAAAAGATGGCAGTATAAGGATTGATGGAAGTCAGGACCAAATATCACTTCATCAGGGCTACAACATGGGGACTGCATTGCCTTCATTGTATTCTTGTACTGTAAATTACGATACACATTTGTAGTAGCAGTTCCTGCTGCCAGACCCCCTTTCGTTTTAAACTGCTTGCTACTGTAGATAAATTGCAAGGCCTTACCATTCCCAATTGGAAATTCCCTGCAAATCAGTAAATCTTCAAATCAGAAAATAGCTTATTAAACATTTAACACCATGTACAAGGGTGGAAAACGTGGAACACATTAAACACCAATATAAGAGATGCAGAGAGTTCTAAGCATAGTTGTCCAATCGGGATTCGTATCGTGAATCAAAATGGCCTCGTACCGAATTGCGAATCGAATTGTGAATCGTAAAGATTCGGTCACTTTTTCTAAATTATTTAAAAATATATATCTACGCATTTAAATGTTAAATATATCTTATGAATATAAAATATTTTGACTTAAATCAACAAAAATGTTATTTTGAATGATAATCACGTAGTTTAATAGGTAAGAAGTTAACAAAGGTTCCTATATAAGATCACTATCTTACATTGTTTTCTTTTTTAGATATTTTTTTATCAACCATTCTTAATAAAGATAATAACCAAATAGACAAACTATCAATTTCTAAAGTAACAATAATTAACAACGATATTGATATTTGGACAATAAGCATATATACTTTTCTAAGTAACAGTGAGCAAATAATAAGAAAGAATTATTTAGAATCTTTTATTTTAAAGTTTAAAATATTTTAAACGGTATAATTGACCTCACACAAGTAATATTTAATTTAATAAAATAGCAATAGATAATTCATAATGTAACTTTAATCTTAAATATCTTTAGAAGATATATTACAATTTTTTGAAAGGAAAAAAATGAGAAGAAAGGATAAAAATATATTGGGTCTAACTGAATCTGATTGGATCATATTAAAAATTCCATGATCACTAAAATAACAACAAATCATGCATATATGTTGGTTATTTTGGTATTAAACGCTATTAGAAGTTGTGTTATGTCATTTTCACTAAAAAGATGGAGAAAAAAAAGTCGAAAATATGTCGGACACAATAATTTCAAAAATTGCATGAATCATAAAAAGTGAATCGAATCATGAATTGATTGTGAATTGTGAGATTCACTTCCAAAAAAGACTCATTCATAAATTTGTATCGATTTTGCAAAAATTACGAATTGACTCGTGAATTGCAAGATTCTGATAACAGAGGTTCTAAGACAAAAGGAAAGCTAGGAGGCAGTCTCTGACTGCATGTGGGTGTGGCCATGTGTGAACATGTTGTTCCAACCACCAGCTCACCTTTTCCTGTAAGTTCAAAAGATGGATATGATATGATAGTGTTATATATGGTTATATACATAGTTACACATTTATATACACACATGTTTCTCAAAGATTAATTACCATCTGTGAAACTTCTACACTGAGAATAAAACAACAGTAAAACCATCAAACAAAGTCAGACTATAATTGACAACTTCAAAGAATTCAAAAACAAAAGATGAAAAGCATTAACCAAATTGAATTCCCTAAAAAAACAGCATCTTTCGTATGAAGATCAAAGCTGGGACACAAAAAAAGTAACATAGAAAATTGAAATTCAACTTGCAAAACATCTAAGAAATCACTTACAATTAGTTAAAAATAATTTTAGGGTCAATTCAAAACAGAAGTCCAATATAAAATAAAAAGTCTACTGCAAAGCACAAAAGAATATTACCTGTTTCTAAATGCAAAAGATGTCTCAAAAATCTGCATAGTGGAATCCATCAATTCATCATTGAAAGGGACAAACTTGGGCTTTCCCTGAGTTGTACCTGAACTGCAAGAAACACAGAATTGATAGAAACAAGAAAATTTTCCACTTTCATAATTTTGTTTTTATTAAACAAATTACACTAACATATAGCAGAAAAGAAAAACAAACAACTAGTTACAAATACCTTAATGAGATGGTTGTTATAGGCTTTTCAGTGAGGATGGGAGAAGCATCACCATCCGCGATTCTATGAATGTAAGTTTCCAAATCCTTGTGAGTGACAAGGGGAACACAAGCCTTGAAACTCTCAGGGTCTGTTCTTCCATTAAGACCCCATTTCTGTAAATACTCTGTCCTGCCATTTTCTTCCAATATTTTCTGCAGGGTCTCTCTCTGAATTTTCTCCGCATCCTTTGTCAGCATCTCAAATTCTTCTATGATATCCTCAGGGTCAAAGTTTTTGTCCATCTTCTCCAACATCCTCATGGAACACCTTGAATAGTTGCTGCAATTATCAAAGGAAACCATTAAGTATGAACTGCAAAGAAAAATTTAATAGGTATAAAATGCCCAACAATTCGAGTCATTGAACTCTGAATGTAATTGAATCCCAACAAAACAAGGATGAAGAAAACAAACTATGATGCAGAAATCATGCTGTGCCAAAAAATGAGCATATGATTCAAAGAACCAATTTTGGCAAAATTAGATAATTATAGTAACACAATTTGCAACACGTTCAACAAGAATATAATCAGAACAATATTTTCACAGGAGCAGAAATGAAGTCAACTTTCCAGAACAACGCGGAAATGAAAGGTGAAAGTTTAGACAAGAACCAATTGGTAAAGAAAACCATCCTCCCAAATCCAGGTGCTGAAAGGAAATTCTAGAGCTGTGTTTATTTAGTCGATAGAAGTCAACTAAATCAGCAAGAAAAGATTTGCAACCAAAAAAGCATCCAATGTATAAGTGAACTAATTCATGAACCTCCGATTCAATAAGTGGTAATTAAACTAATTCATGAACCTATCAATAGTCAAAAAAGCACAATAGAATCCTAGAACAGTAATAATTCATTCAATCATAACAAAAAGGCAACAAAATCCAGAACAAACCTTATAAAAATTAGAGAATTTGACATGTAACACTGTCAGCATATGCATATACATACATATATACATATATAGATCATAATATGTAGATTGTGAAGAAAAAGTGATTCAAAAGTTCACCATAAAGTTCTTGAATTGAAGGCAAGATTCACTAAAACACCACATAAATTAAAATTAGTTTAATTACATAAAGTGATAATTAAACTAATTCATGAACCAATTAATACTCAAAAAAGTACAACAGAATCCTAAAACAATAATAATTGATTCAATCATAACAAAAAGGCCGACAAAATCTGGAACAATTCTTATATAATTTGAGAACACAACTATGCAAGACAAAAGCAAAAACAAAGAGAATCACACCGAGCTTCAAAAGTTCAACAAATCACCGTAAAGTTCGAAAAAAAAATTCAGAAAAAAAAGTAACAATTGAAAAGAAAACAAGTTCCACAGAAGTTCAAATAATCAATTCAGAACTCGAATTGTACAGAGAAATTCGAAAAATTCAAACAAAAGCTGAATTGGAGACCACACAAGTCATTTCAGGAACAATACGAATCGCAATCCTTCAGAGAGTCAAAAAAACATATATAAATATAGATAATGTAGAGAAAGAGATTGACGGTTACAATCGAGAAGAAGAGCGAGGCTTCGAGTTCTGTAAACGTAACTGTTGAAGGAGATCTCGAACAGAGTCGAGAGAGAGAGAGAGAGAGAGCGAGACGTTGAAATTGAGAGACTTTGGTGGAGTGCTTTGGTCGCTCGCACAGTTGCGCAGAGACTTTGAGGCAGAGAGAGAGAGAGATAGAGAGAGGCGTTTTTTTTGGCTCTCTAGAGAGATGAGTTTACGGGTGTGATGGAAGATTCTTTTTTGGGTTGCACTATAAAGGCGTTACGGAACACAGTGCACCAAATGTGTCCCAAAAAACTGATGTTATTTATCCATTAGTTATTTTTAACCCTCTATTTTTTTTTTATAAATTAAAAGAATTTTAAAATTTTATCTTTAAATAATATTAAAATTATCTTTGTTAAAATATTTCGCCCGTTCAACTGCTAAAACTTTAACAAAATTCACGAAAATGATTACTACTTTATCTTTGTATACTTATTCATGATTTGAGAAAATAAATATAGAATTTTTTGTTATTGATTTAAAATTTCGCTTTTCTGGGTTCTGCGATCTCCACGAGTTTCGGTTATCTTTTTCAGAACAAATAAAAAATATTCGGTTACCTGTTCCAGAACAAATCAATAATGTTCGGACATATATTCTCAAATTTCAGCCATATGTTCAGGAGTTTAGTCCCAAAGAAATAACAAACAATTTTTATTATTTTTGTCATTTTTTGTATAAGTGAACTAATTCATGAACCTCCGATTCAATAAGTGGTAATTAAACTAATTCATGAACCTATCAATAGTCAAAAAAGCACAATAGAATCCTAGAACAGTAATAATTCATTCAATCATAACAAAAAGGCAACAAAATCCAGAACAAACCTTATAAAAATTAGAGAATTTGACATGTAACACTGTCAGCATATGCATATACATACATATATACATATATAGATCATAATATGTAGATTGTGAAGAAAAAGTGATTCAAAAGTTCACCATAAAGTTCTTGAATTGAAGGCAAGATTCACTAAAACACCACATAAATTAAAATTAGTTTAATTACATAAAGTGATAATTAAACTAATTCATGAACCAATTAATACTCAAAAAAGTACAACAGAATCCTAAAACAATAATAATTGATTCAATCATAACAAAAAGGCCGACAAAATCTGGAACAATTCTTATATAATTTGAGAACACAACTATGCAAGACAAAAGCAAAAACAAAGAGAATCACACCGAGCTTCAAAAGTTCAACAAATCACCGTAAAGTTCGAAAAAAAAAATTCAGAAAAAAAAGTAACAATTGAAAAGAAAACAAGTTCCACAGAAGTTCAAATAATCAATTCAGAACTCGAATTGTACAGAGAAATTCGAAAAATTCAAACAAAAGCTGAATTGGAGACCACACAAGTCATTTCAGGAACAATACGAATCGCAATCCTTCAGAGAGTCAAAAAAACATATATAAATATAGATAATGTAGAGAAAGAGATTGACGGTTACAATCGAGAAGAAGAGCGAGGCTTCGAGTTCTGTAAACGTAACTGTTGAAGGAGATCTCGAACAGAGTCGAGAGAGAGAGAGAGAGAGAGAGAGAGAGAGAGAGACGTTGAAATTGAGAGACTTTGGTGGAGTGCTTTGGTCGCTCGCACAGTCGCGCAGAGACTTTGAGGCCGAGAGAGAGAGAGAGGCGTTTTTTTTGGCTCTCTAGAGAGATGAGTTTATGGGTGTGATGGAAGATTCTTTTTTGGGTTGCACTATAAAGGCGTTACGGAACACAGTGCACCAAATGTGTCCCAAAAAAGTGATGTTATTTATCCATTAGTTATTTTTAACCCTCTATTTTTTTTTTATAAATTAAAAGAATTTTAAATTTTTTGTCTTTAAATAATATCAAAATTATCTTTGTTAAAATATTTCGCCCGTTCAACTGCTAAAACTTTAACAAAATTCACGAAAATGATTACTACTTCATCTCTGTCTATTTGTTCATGACTTGAGAAAATAAATATAGAATTTTTTGTTATTGATTTAAAATTCCGCTTTTCTGGGTTCTGCGACCTCCACGAGTTTCGGTTATTTTTTTTAGAACAAATAAAAAATATTCGGTTACCTGTTCCAGAACAAATCAATAATGTTCGGACATATATTCTCAAATTTCAGTCATATGTTCAGGAGTTTAGTCCCAAAGAAATAACAAACAATTTTTATTATTTTTGTCATTTTTTAAAAGAAATTTATCCTTACAATGCCAATTTTTTATGAGTTAAGAACACAATCAAAGTTATGAATCTCCTCTAAATTTTTATTATTATACTCCTCTCGTCTTATAGGGTTGTAATTATCGTTACTTTGCTTTAGGCCTATTTTGAGCAGTGGATTAAAAGTTGCTTTTCAGCTTTTAACATATTTTTCTCTCTTATAAAAAAGTCAAAAAATAACTTTTAACCATCTTTTCAAAATATGGCTCGATTTATCTACCATTACTCTAGCTTTAATTTACAGTAAACAATTATCTCCTTATACATTTTCTTTTTATTTAAAATTATTCAAAAATACTTAAAACCTTCCAAAATAAAATAAAAAATATGACTTGTGAATGAGGTGGGGCTTGACAATTATTTTTTAGTACTTTTTTATTTTACAACTTAAAAAATTCATACTTTTGGTAATTGCTAAAAAAAAAGGCTTGTTCCTATTTTGTCTATAACTGACGCGGATCTTATGCTATCATGATTGGATAAGCAACCTTTCATATTTGGAAAATTATTCAATATTTTCATAACATTACGTGGCTATACTTTAAATCAATCATCAATTAGTTAGTTTCATATTGTTTTCACATCCCCAACATAAATCGTGGGCCTTTGTGTCTCTCCACCAATCAAAATCTTATAGAGCACCACGTGTCAATACTCCGAGAGTACTGAATAATCACCCTTCATATTTATATCTCTCCTTACTCTTACACTATGTTTGGGAACTTAGGAGAGAAAAGAAAATAAATGATTATTTAAGTTATAAGAGAAGAGAAAATAAAAGAAATGATTGTGATTTCTTTCCTTTTTGTTTAGATAAAGAATAAATAAAAGAAAAGAAATTATTGTGATTTCTCTCATTCTTGTTTGGTTAGATTTCATTAAGAGAAAAGAAAAGAAATTATTTTATGTTATATTACCAAAATAACCTTTTTATATTTTCAATCATTTTATTTCTTTTATTTTTATAGGGACAAAATTGGTATTATGAAAATAATGGTTTCTTTTCTCTCCCAATCTCTCCACTTTTGAGAAGATTGAAAATGAGGCTTATAAGAGAAATGAGTTTCTGTCCGTTTCTCTCCATTTCTTCTCATTTGTCTCCACTTAAGTTATCCAAACAAGTAAGAGAAATACATATCTCTTCATTTCTTTTCTTTTCTCTCAAAATCACTCAATCCAAACATAGTGTTATTGTAGAGTCAAATTCAAACTCGTATCAATGATCTAAATTGTTTATTTTATAAGTTCTATAATAAAGGTCATTTATGAAAAAAAAATAATTTTATCGAACATCTATAAGCATAAGAATAAATCACATTTTATTTTAAAAAATGTGATTTATGTGAAAATTGGGTCGAGCTGGATAATGGGCCGTTATGAGCCGCAGTACAAAGGGCCAAGTAAAATGGCCATGTAAAGTTACTCCGGTCGTGTGGATATTTTGAAGTTAGTCCGGTCCTAAGGCCGTGAAGCTAGTCCGGTCCGACAAAAGATCGAAGTTAGATCGGTCTAACGGTACTTTGGAGTTAGACCAGTTTTGGAGTTACATCGGTCATGACATGTTAGTTCGGTCTAACCATGCCATGGGTTGTGCATGAGAAGCCGATGTAAGAGCAGTAAAAGGAAGAGCTAGTTCGGCTTATTCTGCGGCTATGCATAGTCATGTTTACTTTGGTCATATCAGAGTTTGGCCATGATAAAACCATCTCACTTGGTTTAAGCAGTGAGGGGGGTGTTAAAGGATAAGCATTATCTTTCAGGAGTATAGATCCTAGGAAGACTCTGCATGGAGAAGTAAAAGTCCTACTAGGATTGTGCCACACAAAACCTATAAGAGCTCACAAACATCACCTTTGGAGAGATAACACACAACTTTGTTTTCTGAATACACAGAGCTTTTGTCTATTTGTCAAGCTTACTAACTTAGGCATCAGAGAGATTTCTGGCACACACCCGCCGGCTAGCTCACGTTTGTGTTTTCAGGTGATAAAGCGACGTCGTACGGAGGAGCGCAGACTTGATCAACAGGATTATACGAGAAGGTTTATTTCTTTCCCGTACAATTGGCGCCGTCTGTGGGAACAACAGACAGGACAAAACCTCTTGATCAAGCTATACCTCTTTAGGAATAATGGCACACATTGAAGAATTACCACGGTCCGCCATCGACGGGCAAACATCAGATGGGGGGGCCAGGCGTGAAGGATTACCTTCTATCCCTCCCATGGCGGACTTGGAGCCCCAACGACACAACCCCAGGAGAGAAACTAGGGGGAGGCGGACTCACAGCCCCCGTCACTCTCATTCACAAAGTCCTGACAGGCAAAGGCGGAGGATTGATCCTCAAGTTCTAGAGGACCGCGTGAAGGAGCAAGACGAATTAATAAGGAAGATGGCGGCCGACATGGAAGCCTTGAAGCACCAGATGAAGAAAAAAAGAGTGGCGACAGGAGAGGGGCGCAAAAACAAGACGCCCTCTCGCCGCTCAGAAGACCATGGAAGGCATTCAACGCCATCATAAGCAGAAAGTAGAAGCCTCAGGACAGGCGATACTCAGTTTGGAACCTCCAGAACTCGTTACTCCAAGTCTGAGAGAACGAGATCATTGAGGTCTTAAACAGAAGGGAGTACCTACCGACCCTCACACTCGCACCAAACATCATCCAAACAGACGGAGTTGCCCAAATCATCCGATTTGCGGATCATGCTAGAAGAAAAGGCACGATGGAAGGAGGACACCAGGGCGCGCGACCCTCGCAGAGTTTCTGCGCTTCAACGATTGGCTCCTCGATCGCATGGAAGGGTCGAGGTTGGAATGCCATTACCACGCCCTGCCTACGAACCGACAGACAAAGCATTAGCGAGGCTGCAAGCCTCGCCGTTCGTTCCGGCAATCGAAAACGCGCCCCTACCTACAGGCTTCCTTCAACCCAAATTCACTACGTACGAGGGGAAGACGGACCCCTACATTCACCTAAGC